GAAGAACTATCAAATATCACTATTTTAGGTCTCAAAGAAGTGTATAAAATACACTTATCAATGTGCCTACCAACTTATGAGGTATGCTTTTATTTGTCATAGAGAAGCAATTATAAAGTCATGCCTTCTAGATTACATCATTATAGATGTCTTCTCTCTCTCTCTCTCTCTCAAGATCGCTTCTTGTTTCTTGGATTGATTGAAGTTGTGAAGTATGGCCCAAAGTTGACGCTTTCTTTCAAAAATTGAAGAAACTTCTCACAATGTGATATTTTTTTCATAAAACAAAGCCAGGGAATCACGATGGTGCGACAGTGGGTTTATAAGCATTCTACACTAATTGCTAACTTGAATAAAAATTGTACACGAGTCCTTAAACTCTAAAGAAATATAAAGAATTCCTAATTACAAATAATAATAAAAATTACTCAAACTAATATGACCCTACCCAGCCATAACGTCCATATCCATTCTTCATCATTCACCTCGAATTGTAGAAGATTTGTCTTCGATTCTTCCTCTCCATCCTCAATCAGTATCTCGAATGATGTTAACTTGTAAGGTGACGAGTAGAGATAACTTTATTCCAAAGTCTCCTCTTTTACTTTTGGATTAATTATATTGTTTCTTCCATGTATACCACAGTACAAACTCCACAAGATGTTCCTTAACCATCTTTATATCATTTAAATTGACCTAGAATTTTAGAAGACCCTAATGATCATATTAAAGCCACCAATTTCAATGTCAACTTCAAGTGCATTAGCTTCAATGACTTCATCAAATATTTGCGAGTAGAGTACCCATCGTGGTTGACATCCAAAATTTCTTCTTCCTCTTCATCAAAAACTGGTGGAGCATAATAAGTTTCACCAAAATCAACATTTATTGGTCGACCGGATTGAAAGGGACAAAGTTGTCATTACAGTCCTCTGTGACCGACTCTATACATGTTCTTGCACTACCCGCGCCTATAACTCTATTTTGCTGATCCCTATCATCAGCTCCATCACGTTGGTCTTCAATGGCACCCAACAACGTTCATTGTTGGGCTTTCAACGTATCCGTTTGTTGTTCTAACGGATCTAACTGCCAATGAAATTTATATCATGCCTTTTTAATATTGAATCTCGTCCAAGAAGACTTTACTAATACTAATCAACTGTGTCAAGATATGATTTTGCTTTGATACCAACTGACATGGGCGAATCCAGCCTTATAGTTCAGCACGGGCGGAGACCAATGATCGTTGACTGATGACTGTTGACTGGTGACCGATGACGGTTGACCGATGCCCCAATTTATTTTTCAATAAATTGATTAAAAAACAATGTACACATGGTTTAATTGAACCCACCATCATCCCCACTAATTTTTTTCACTTATCACTAATTTTCTAAAAACCTAAATTCTCAAATCACAATTCACAATTCAAAATCATAACTCATAGTCTCGGACAATAATACAACATAAAT